AACAAAAAGCCATAAACTTCAATAGCCCGGAAAAGGAAGAATGTCAATGTTTACTCAAAATACTTATTCTGAACAATTGGATATTATTCTATGCTGTGCAAGTCAGCCTAAACGTTCTACCTGTATATGAAATTAATCTCTATGGTACACTTTTTAGCGAAAGACAACAATGAAGGGCCGCTACATTAGTGACTCATTTAAATATCCATTTCGTCTCAATAATTAAACTTTATTTCTTTTGTTTCAGCTCCCAAACTGATGATTCCTCCGACGGAATTCGTCAGTCAAGGCGGCATTGGCAGTCCACAGGAAGGTCTCCGCACGCCGACCGGCAGCCAGATGCTGGCCAACCCTCTCCTCAACCTGAACAACACTGGCCGAACTAACTTCACTAACAAACAGCTCACAGAACTAGAAAAGGAGTTCCACTTCAACAAATATCTGACGAGAGCGAGGAGGATAGAGATAGCCTCCGCCTTACAGCTCAACGAGACTCAAGTCAAGATATGGTTCCAGAACCGACGGATGAAACAGAAGAAGCGGATCAAAGAAGGACTGATAGTTGCCCCCGAAGTCGCCCCCACCTCGACCTCCCAACCCAGTGTCGTAGGCTCCAGTGAGAACAGCCGCGAATCTAGCTAAATCCATTGTTTTCAAAGACGATTAATCGAGTGAACTGTTGGTCTAATTGATAGGAAAAATCATCACGTTTTTATCATTTTCAAAATGTTGACTAATTCAGAGTAGATTATGCTCTTTTGTGTGGTTTGGTGTCTTGATTTTTATTGTGTTCATTTTGTTTACGAATCCATGTTTTAGTAACTAGCGTTATTCCATAAATCATATTACAATAGTTTTAATGTTACTCTGAAACATACATCGCATTCTTGTACAGATCGAAATGCTTAATTAACTCTCTGAAAGCTTTTGCACTATAAAGAAAATACGTGTAGATACATGTTTCGTAACTAACGTTCAAAGTTCGAATGAGAGTGCAAATAATCATATTGAGAATTTATATATCTGCTTATCCTGAAACAGGATAAATCCAGATCGTATATACTATCAAAAGAATAATAACTGTCGCAAATAATATAATTTCATCGTCCAATGAAAATTAGATAGAGCGTAGATTGTTTTTAATGAAGCATTTGACTTTGAAAATAAAACTTATATCAGAAGAGATTATTGTAATATTATTGTAAAAGATATAAAGGCTCAATTAACCTGACTAGTGTAAACCAACGGATGTGTCAACGTAATGAATTTTCTTAGAATATAAATGTAAATTTCAAATCATAAGCTAGGTGTTACTGTAAGGTCAGCCGCTGTTTTACTAAAATGCTTTTAGGATCGTCCATTAGGAGATATTTAAGAACAATATCATTAGGATTTGTATTTTTTTATTTATTTTTAATGATCCTTATTACTTCTAAACCAAAGCTTGTTTTTGTTTAATTTATTATACACAATCAGTAACATATCTGAATGAATGTTCTGTTTCTGCATTGATGTTATACTTTCATGAAATCTTCTGTCTTTGATTTTATTTTGTACGTCTTCTTTAATATTATTGTAAAAGATATAAAGGCTTTTTATTCGTATTAAATGTTTAAAACATTCATTTGTAATGTAATTGACTGTGATTTCAATACCTTTCTGCATTGTCCGATACTTATTTCAGTTGTTTTATGAGTATGATGAGCTACACTCAAAACCTTTATTATATTTCTGTTTACTGCTTTATATAAGTGTGAAATTTCCTTAAAATTATTTATATAGATGGTTCTTTCTTTGATTGGACATTATCTATCTTTAATACTAACATTTTCATTTTTGTCTACATTGAATACGTTTTTCAATAGTACGTTGACGATACTAGTCTTTAATTTTGTAATTATATTGTGTACAAATAGTATAATGTATATACCAGTGGTGTGTTAGGTCAGTCTGAGTGTAAATTATGTATTAAGATAGTGTCTACTACTTTTATCATTAAATTAATTGTACCTATTTTCATTCCTGAAGTTTTATTACCTCTTTAATTGTGAATTTGATCTAACTTTATTTAGATCAAGAATGCAAGAAGTAGAATAAACCTTTCTCACATAAATTCACACCAAAAATTATGGTTTATTCACATAATTATTCTGAGAAAAGCTCGACTAGTTTCGAGTTACAGAGGGACTCTTCCTCATGAGCAGTGTGGCAGGTCGCAGCGACATCGCGTACCTACCCTACTCCGTGAATAAAACTTTATTTTTAATTATGACGGTGACAAAAAGCTTATAATTCTATAGGTCTCACGACGATAGTTATTGTGAAAATATAGAAAAACATACCTAATATTTCTCGAAGGCAGAGGTACAGAGAACACCCATTATACCAGGTGAGATTCAAAAGTACCAGTTGTCATTTATCGATCTTGCTGCTGTTGCTACTGAGAATTTAGAAAATCGAATAATTTCACGAGGTATTAGCAAACAGCTAGATATAGATAAATAGTGAAATTTATTTCGTTTCCGTCCCGCGGCAAAACAACTTGCCATAAAGAGTACTTTCAATAAATAAAATAAAAACAAAAATTCTGGATTTAATTAACAAACGATTTTTTTTGAGATATTTTTCAAATGAAGATAGATCTATGAAGATAGAATCTAAAGAGATAGTGAAAGAAGTGTACAACTATAAATCCTAATAGAAAAAAATGCGATTAAAAACGATCACAAGACATGGACTCAATTAGGAATAAGGAAAAACTCTGATCCTTCAAAGACGTAGGGCAATACCACAAAAATTCACAAGTCCCTATTTCGAATTAGTTTTCTAATAAATATTACATGAAAAAGATATCCTAAATCTTTAAAGAAGGCGAAAAACTTACATTTTTACTTTGTCATAAAATAACTAGTATCTTTTTAATCCCTAAATAAGAAGGCAGGCAGAGCATTTACAAGACAAGAGTCAAAAAATTTAACTACTTATGAGAAGTATTATAGGACTACTCAATGATCGAAAATATTCTGAAACATGGAGTTTGGAATAATAACATGGCATATTAGTTGGACCTATGTAGTAACTTATGGAGTTTCTTGCTTGTTCTTCTCCTAAGGAATCTACTTCGGAACTATCAATTAGCTTCACTGGAGGGTATACTTATGGGACTAACCAACAGACTGACATTTTAAATATTTTAATAGGTGTTTTGTTTTGACGTTCAAAAACTGGTCTATTGAAAAAAATTTTTTATGGCATAAGCCGGTACCTATATGAGCAGACGGATCACCTGATGGTAAGCAATCGGCGCCGCCCATGGACACATGGATGGGATTAGGAGTTTGAGGATCATTGGGAATTCAGGAATTGGGGATATTGGGGAAGGGGAGGGTAGGACCTCCGGTAACCTCACTCACACGACGAAACACAACTCAAGCGTTGCTTCAAGTCGGTTTTCTGTGAGGCCGTGGTATCACTCCGGTCGAGCCGGCCCATTCGTGCCGAAGCATGGCTCTCCCACACTTAAAAATTATTTTAGCTTTGACTTTGACTATAATTGGATAACAGTAGGATGACAAAGAAAAAAGAGACAATAGCATCTTATAACTCAGCAATCTGTAGCGTCCCACTGTTTGTCTCGTGTGTGAAGTTGTAAGGCAAATCCGTTCTAAAGAGTTAAAGAGGAAAACATTTGGTCAGTAATGTTCAGGCTGCCTATTTAAAAGCCTAAAATTAAAAATATATCCAAGTCCTTTATGTTCATTCTCCTAAGTAACCTAGATAAACAGAAACAGCATAGGTTTTAAAAAAATATTATAAATAGGTATTTAACATTTATTAACAATACATGTAACTATACCACATCGAAAACACTTATTTAGAGAAACTTATATTACATTTATTACGCTAAACTAAATATTTATTACAAAATTAAATAAAAGCTTATAAAATCAAACTGGCCATTTATATCACAGCATACACTCAGCGCCATCTTTTGTCGACATACTTAAACCCAACTTGTGCTAGAACTACTAAAAGTTATAAAAGTGTTTAACTAGCGACATCTATACCTATACGGTTGAACAATTTTCAGAACAGTAAGATCATTTTAGTTCAAAGGTCAACAATGATCTTAGATGGCAGCACTAACATTATTTAACAGAAATTATTACAATATCACGTATGGAACTGAATAAAAGATTCTATGGATTTCATAGAATCCATATTCATATTAAGCAAGTTGTACAGATATAATATCTATAATAACTATAATAATAACTATATAATAACTATAATCTATAATAACTTACTGTAAATTGAATCATTTTGTACTACACTATAAAGTTTATTTTGCAAAACAAAAACTAGGGAGGAGGTAGATTATCTTCATTAAATAAATATTATGATCCTCGATATTTTGCACTTATATATTAACTGCTTACACTATAAGCAGTTTGTATAATCTTTAATGGACCACCGAGGCACAATAGCATCACAAATTACACTTGGAAGCAAAGAAATGGACCCACTACCATTACCCAATACCATTTTGTTACCACACTGTGATGTTTTTTGTTCTAATCTCTATTCTTTTAAGTTTATTATTAGTATTTTGTTTATATATCTGTATTTTTATTCTTTATAATCGTGTGTGTTTGTCAAATAAATGTTTTTCCTTTTTTTCTTCTTTCACTTGCATTTTTGTTTTCCATTTCTTGATAAATATTTTGTGATACAACTATTTTATTAATTGGTAACCTATGTCCTATAAAGGGCAATAAGTTTGCTTTAAAATGGGAGCATTTTGTTCAAAAAGTGTTTTTTTAGTTATAAATGGTTCGATAAAATGAAAAAAGACGCTAATGGTTCTGTTTCTTTGCTCCCAAGTCTAGGTTTTACTCAAAATACCTACTTATAAATACACTTAGTACCTATCTACTCGTGCAAATTTCACTACTTAGCAAATACTTAATACCTAAAGTTAATCTAGGCTAGGCTGAGTATTACTTGCTAATAATTTCATACTTCAGATCGTTGTCATTCAGCTTCTGTATGAGTGTGGTGTTCTTGAAGGCCGAGCCAGGTGACATTACTCCCCCACTGGAATAAAAAATATTTTGAAATAAATAACTTAAGTAAAAAGTGGAGGAGGTAGCTTACAGGAATTGCAATAGATTTTGTTTACTTTAAAAAAAAACGTTGTTTTACACTAGGATTTTTTTCTGTGTCGTGTGTGCGTTTACAAACATACAAGTTCACATACACATTGTGTCACTTGTGTCATTAAGTTCCTAGAAAACGGAATGGAGGCTACCGTACTTTAAGTCACCAGATGGTGCCAATCCATCAAGAGGATTTTTGTCCAATCACTGCAGCTGTCAAATATTTAACGTCCAATGGTGTGATACTACGTAATTCCCTATTGGACGAAAAACGAGAATTTTACACTAGCGCCATCTTGTGAATAAGAATACTGTAGCCCCTATTGTTTATCTATTTAAATATCTACTAGCGCGGTAGCGGTAGTTATATTTTGGCTACATGCGCTAGGCGTTGCAAAATTATCGTGGATACTAAGATAATTTTAGTGAGTTAAAAATTTCATACTCCCTGTAATTTTTAGTTTAAAGTTTACTCCTCATCATCAAAAAAACAACGAATATTTTTTTATAAACTACTACGTTTAAAAAACCGACTTCAACCAAGTCTTTTTTAAACTCGGTTAAGAAGGTTGGTAAAGGTCAGAAAGAGTCATAAGAAGATCTCCACCATCAAAAAAAGGTAAAGCAGTATGCTGACGGCGCGGGCATGTGGTGTCGCTCCCGCAGCACGGTGTGTGCACACATGAGGACAGCCGCCACCGTGGCGCCGTACGCGGGGTTCTGGCCCGTCACCTGTAATACAACGCATTGTTTAAACATTGACTACAAGAAAATTTCTTGAAAGACAGAAATGTATTGCGATCTTTTTTCCGCTAGTGGCGCCAGTGTGCAAAAAAGTCTTTTGAGCTTTCAAACTACTGATTTTTTGCTATATTCATCAGAGGATGGAGAGGGTCCTTGGTGAAGGTTTATGTTTTAAATTGATGAAAGTTTCAGCACCGTGGGTGAAGTAACGGAGAACTAATGTAAGAAACGTTATACGTACTTACTTTTTTAGAATGGGGAAGTCATCCAATGACTTCTTTCACCCGATTGAGGCAAGAGGGAGTGTCAGACTGACTAAAAACCACCCCGAGTGCACTTCGAGTCGGAGACACGCTTTTGCACTTCGAGTCGGAGCCCCAGCAACCCGTTAAGTCCCTAACTATACTATAGACACAATTAACAATGAACACATACCTTAGCGACTACAGTTTTTGTGGGCAGTGTCTTCTCCACGTCAGCTCCTTCAGGCCAGCCATTACCAACCATCTCGAAAGTAAAGTTCGAGTTATTGGTAACATTAGCTGTGGGACCTTCCTTTGTCACATATCCCCCTGACCAGTACTTCGGATTATTCAACAAATACTTCCTCGTGCACTCGCTCTTAGACATGACCACTAAAGTTAGAGCCCTCATAGCGATGCCCATGGACCGCCAGAGAGATCCAGTCTTGAAATAAGCGTTGAACTGCACGGGTCGCTGTTGTTCGTTCTGGTATAAAAACTGCTGCGTTCGATAAACTACTGATTCATCAGCTCCGGGAAACTCGAAGTACCATTGGTTATCCTTTTTAGTCATGCTCCTGGAAACGGAAATATTTGTTTCTAAATAAAATTTTAAGACTTATGTCATTTTTACGGTTACCAAAAAATTTTTGTATCCTATCATTTTCGCAGAGAAAACACTCTTAACAACTTTTGTACCTTAAAATCTTTAAATGTTTGTAAAAGAACTTACTTTTGCTTGACGACAGGTTTCATCTGCGGCGCTGGTTCGGGGAACAATGCCTTGCGAAGCCTCGGTATCTCATTAAGAAATGCCGCACTGAAATGAAAAACTTTTCAATAACCATCTTGTTTTAGAATGATTTAGTATATGCAGATCCAAGCAACCACAGAATATCGAATTAACTTTTTAACTGCTAGGACCTGTCTGGAAGTCATTAAGGAAGGCCTCTATTCAATAGTCTTTTGACTAATATGATGATATATCTAACATTACTTACCCATATACAAATGACTCCCAAGTACCAGTGCCTATCACTCCATGTTCTTTCGCTTCCGCATCAAGTTCAGGGGGTAAGTAGAAACTGAGGTACGAGTCTATAGAGTTCAATGTGCCTGTGAACAAAGGATAACGGTTGTATATACAATATAGCTTCAGAACTATCATAGCCTAAACCAGCATCTGTAAGGTCTTGTATTTATTCGGTTTTGCCTTGTATATAGCAAAGAGATTAAATAATTAATACAGTGAACAAACCTTTGAAGTTTTGTTTAAGGAAGGTGACGCCCATGTCAGATGGGATGCTGTCAAATCCACACGCGCTGATCACGAACACTCCTGCCTCGCGAGCTTTTTCGTCGTAACGAATCTGCATGAGATCCATAAACTAGAAAAGAAAGGGCAAAATAACCTTTATCCCAAGTTCTTAAGATCGACGCTACCTATATGTATGTCCAGTTCACATACATTCACCCCTATCAGAGATTCATTTGCGTATAATTCCACATTCAGTCAGGCCACCGAGTACAGAATGACTCGACCTCTCAAATAGGCTTGTTCCTTTACACAAAACTATAAAGTATGAGATAATTAGGTTAAGGAATGAGCAAATGGATCATCAGAGCTCAGAGGTGTTAGAATTGCGATGCTAAATACTTAGATACGTATCATCATCTACTCAGTAATGTTGTATTAAATACCTGTGGTTCCCCAGTAATATCCACATAGTTGGTCTTGCTCTCAATGGCGGCTTTGACGACAGGCTCCCCATAGAGGCGGTAAGGGCCACAGCAATTGATCAGTACATTGGTCTGAGCGCACATCTCACGAAGCGACTTATCATCACCGACGTCTGCTACTATCAGCTTGATAGAGGACAGGTCTTCACCTAGAAAATAGTCATCATCATCATGATCAGTTAAGTTGGTGATCAAAGGTCTCCCAGCGGTTTGCTACGGTTATCTGCAAATCTACCGATAACGTACTGACACGGCTAATTAAAACCTTAGATATTTGTTGTATTTGCATACCGCTTATATTTGGGGTCTATTCTATTATCTGTTTAATATTATTACTATTACTAATCAATAAACAAAATTGAGTGAATTTAGCATAGGCATGTTGTCAGCGTCTCTCTTCTAATTCTTCTGTTTTAATTTTACTTTTATTGTCTTTTTTATATTTTATTTATGCTGCATCGTGCCTGGTGCTGAATAAATGTTTTTTCTGTCTTTCTGAATTGAATAGAATAGTAATTCATAGCTTGTAGCCATTATTTCTTAGGAAATTTGCCCACAATCCTGCATCATTGCTTGGCGACTTGTAAACTAAACAATGAAAATCACAGTCTATAATTTCCTTATAAAACCTGAGCGACACGAACATGTCGTGCTAAAACTAATTTAAAACAAACATTTACTACCCACACTAGTACATGGGCACTTGTAGGCCATGACGTCACCGACGTATTCTATTGATAAGTACTACACAAATACGGTAGTCTCCGTAAATATTACTTTATAACTCTTTACATTATGTACTAGTTGTTGTATTAACACATAATATTTAGTTTCTGCGAACATGACCTTGCATTTTTACAGAGATGTAACAATGTCTAGGTATATCGGCATCTTACACTTTAATTGAAAAGATCCACAGAAGTAGACTTGCTTATAGATTTTTTATTTGCCTCGTGTAAAATTTTATGTGTAAACAAGAAATTACCTACCTAGGTATATGAAAAAATGTTGTTAGACTAGGTAACCACTAAAAAAGAGTTTAATAAAATATACTTAATGAAGGATAACATTGTGTGTATCATTGACGTTACAATCATAGCTATTAAGTAGAGGACATAGCGTTTGAATAAACAAAGAATGGCTACAACATAACACAACCATAAAAAGGATAACAACACAATGATAAATAACCGGCTACTTAAAAAAACTATATACATGATTCAAACTATACAATATTTCTACAAGATTAAAATCAATATTTTTCCGCTTAAGCTGCAAAACATGCATAACTACATTCCGATTATTAATATAAATAGATACATATATAAGTATATGTCTGACATATTAGCTACGTTTAAAAAAACTAGTAACACGAATGACCCACGTGGATACAAAAAATGCTTCGTCATAGTGATTCAACCTAAAATAATAAAATTATCAAGTCGCACGGTGCGTAGGTCGTTATTATTGTATCTGAGTATCTGTTTAGCTATTTATCAAACCTGAGAAATCTTTTTTTTTAATCTTTTGTCTTCCTATCTATTATAAGTCTTATAAAGCATGTGATTGGTTGATTGCTCTATCTATTTAAGTATTTACATTCATATCAAAGTCTGAATGAGTAAGTTACACGTAGGTAGCATCAAACTTTTAATTCTGCAACAAAAGAATAATTAGTAATGATGTAGTTTTCGCTAGTATGCTGCTAATCTTATGGGACTGTTCAAGACGAACGTTTGTCGTCTATCGGTCATTAATCTACCATATTATCAACTAGCATACATAATCTCACGTCTGTCTCCCATGGGGGTACGCAGAATATGCCTCGCCAAATGCTACGATTCTTAGACACCTATTTCGCTTCATCAACAGTCTTTTCGCGCATGCCTGTCAATTAAGGGTATGGGTTATCAACAAGCTGCTGGATATTTTCGAAAAAATAGTAGACAATTAAACAAGTACTTACTACGTAGCATGAGAACGGACGGGTGCTTTCGAGGTCAACCCAAACGCGTTGTCAAAACAGAAAATAGGCTTTTGGGTGGATTATCAAAAAGATACTATAGAACATCTGTTCTATAGTATTTTAATCTATATCTTAATTTATATCTATAAATGAAAATGGTAGAATTAATCAGGCACATGACATGCATATGACCAAATTGCAAAGCTGTTCTTAAGTTGTAGGATGGAAGGAATCATCAACCTTAACTTAGTTAGCTCTTATTGACCTCGGTTTGCTTAACTTGAATGGTTTGACCGCTGGGTTACATGCTTTCTTAATATCGGCTACGATTATAGAAATCGTTTATAAAACCAGTTCTTCAATGATATCACATCTACTAGCTATAGCAAAGTAACCGAACTTATCGACGCAACATATTTATTACTTTAGTAACTTCTTTTTCTTCATATTCGTGAATAAACTGTCAACTTTTCGTTTTCCACGTCTTTTCGACGTAGAACAATACGTGCAACTTTGCTTACCCTTTTATAGCATTTAAATAGCGTGTTTATACATTATATAAGTATGCAGACATGTAGATTTTGCCTTTGATAGACACATAAGGGTATTTTTTATAATCAAAAACGATATGTTTGTGTTTATTTAATCATAGCTCGCTAGCCATTCGATCAAGATAGCGATAAAAACTAGTCGATGGAGTTTTTGTTGCCCTGTGAACTTTGGCTTTCCCACTCTTGACAAAGTCAAAGTAAAGGTACGTATTTTAAACTAGCTTATTCTGCCAGTGGCATTTCTTCACCCATGTTCCCGTGTAAAAATTGGCCTATGTGTTTTTACGGCTGAAGGGTTCGGCTTCAGCTGTTTTGACATAGAGTAACAAACATACAAAATTACGCATCACTACATAGTATAAAACAAAGTCGCTATCCGTCGTATATCTGTCCCTATGTATGCTTAGATCTTTACAACTACGCAACGCATTTTAATGCGGTTTTTTTTAATAGATAGAGTGATTCTTAAGGAAGTTTTATATGTATGCATATTATTATTGCACCCGTGCGAAGCCGGGGCGGGTCGCTAGTTGATAATATTAGTACAATACGCTATGTAAAGGTACGGCATTTATAACAGAATCGTAGTCAATTTATATTGATTACAAAACATAAGTAATATAACGTGACGCCTTGCGGTGCACGCCGCACAGTTTACATAAGTGCTCTTATTAATACCAAGTACAATAAGGCCATATAATTTTATTCCAAGGATTCTAGTAGCCGAATTTTCGAAAATCGAAATCCTAATACAATTATACGCTGACTGACCTGGAGAGCCCAGGAATTAAGCCAAGACCTAATTCACTAATACCGCTTACGACCTCTTTGACGAAAAAAGAAAAGTTATCCACTCTCCGATTATCAGTACCACTTACTACCAAAATAGTAGAAAATTATGGTCCCTAACTTTAATCATAGTCCACAGTAATTCTGACCACAACATATCTACTGCGCATGTCTGTAAAAGGGTTTCAGTGTAACCTTGCCCTTCTCAATAGCTGACTCACCTTTGTGAACTATCGACTATTTCTATTCAGATTGTTGTTTCACTAACCCTTTTCTATATAGTTTTTACTTAATCAAGATGAAAGGACTTCAGTCGTTACAAAAGAACTTTGAAAAAAGGAAAGAATTACTGCTTAATATTTCGGAGATTAATAATTTATTATCTTAAGAATTACAATATCTGTCTAACATTGAGGCAGTCCCAGTAAGTTATTATACAATACTTGTGTTGGGACTGACTCGATCCTTTCTTTATTTATTTAACATAACATAACATCACACCTTTTATCCCCGAAGTGGTAGGCAGAGGTGCACATTATGCCACTGGACAATGTAACACCCACTTTTCACTATTTATGTTATGAGTCCCATGTAATAAGGGGTGAGCCTATTGCCATATACCGGGCACAATTACAGACTCCGTGCTACTACTGAGATTTTTTTTAAAACCCAGTAATACTTTGCCCGACCCGGGAATCGAACCCGAGACCCCTTGCCCGGCAGTCGCACTTGCGACCACTTAGCCAACGAGGAAGTTAACACTCTTAAGAATAATAGTTTCCAGATCTGTAGCATAATTACCTTACTCTTTGCAAAAACCAATCGCTAGACTATATCCTACGTCGTTGATAAGTTTACAAAACCAGACTTCATAAACATCACACCCAGACAAGGAACAACAATTTGTGGATCACTCAAGAATCGAACTTGCTACATGCCTATGGCTGCTAGTACATACAATATACCCTGAGCCACCAACTATTAGGGTGATGGAACACTAAAAAGAGAATACCATATCTATTAAACAGTCTGCCGGCAGACATAAGGAGTGAAACACATTCAAACAGGTTTAAACGAAAATTGAAGTCATATTATTTAGAAATGTCCTAATAATAAGTAAGTATAAGTTTCAACGCCTGTATAACATTTAAATATAAGTACATTTAATTGTAATGTCTAGCGACTCGACCCCGCAGTCAAACCATTATAACAGTTTTGTGGGGCTTAGATTATAAAATACTTACCTTTGTGATATAAAGATAAATAAATAAATGAAATAAAATAATTGAGCCAACTGTCCAGCCGAGTCATTCTAATTCATAACACACCTATCGTTAAAGATAAAGATTACATACTACAAGTGAAACAAGTGAAACAAGTGAAACAAGTGAATTTATTTCTGCAAATAGGCTACAAGGCAGCACTTTTACACGTCAATTTTATCAAGCGAACGATGAGGTCGACCACTATTATCTTTTACAATGTTATCATTTTGATCACGGCTCAAAGTTCACATAGATACCTTATAGTAAATAACAATAATGAGTAAATAATTACTAAAGGTCAAAACTAACAGATTGAAGAAGTCTATAAAAAATATGTTTACTCACTTCTAGAATAATTATTATTGCATACAAATAGTCTTACTGGTCAACGCGGATATAAAGGATTACAGATAATTATATTCACATGATCACTAGGTATTTACTATTTACATGACTTATACCTGGGCTCATTTTATAGGCTAGCGGTCTAGGTACTGCCAAATACTGATTTATATTTTTCAATTATCACGTCCAGCAATGTTCGTGGAGGTGTCAAGTAGGTACTGATTAAATATTTTTGAAATCAATATCATTATGTAACTGGATTCTACTTAAACATAGTAGATAAACAGACATCAACTTATCCTTTGAAAGATCGTAAAAATTTTCTAAATAGGTAGATGATTTTTTAATTGTAGGAGTAGTACTTTGAAAAACTTTTCTTATCACCTCTAAATCCTCTAATATCCCTATTATCTATTTTTTAATGGGATAAGTCCGTCACAACCTCCCAAAACCGCTGCAACTCCTGTAAGCCAGGATCTACACAGTAGATACAACCATGAAAACATCGGAACATTGAAGTCCGGCGCGTCCCAGGGACATGAATAACTTGTGTCCAGCAACGAAATAAATAAGATATTATTAGAGGAGAAGAAAAATCGATAGCTATTGTCTATAAACAATAACCATGCTACCTATGCAATCAACTAGTTAGGAGCATCAGGTAGGTACACAAGAAATATTCATGGCGTCCCTAAGTACTCTACAACATAATGTTAGCTACGAGTATGATGTATAAAATATCGATTTTTGCTAATGACGAAGCACTATTTCAGTTCAGTAGGAAGGACTCTTATATTTCGAGGTTGTACATTATTTGTTGCGTTTGTAATGTAATAATGTTGTACACAATCTTTAAAGCTAATGTAGGAAGGAAATGGTCATACTATAATCGTGATAAATCTTTTACTTATTATATAAAATCTGTAGTACTCTGCGAGGACAATCTGACTGTCCGGAGCTGGTGGCACAGGTGGTACGGTTGTTTGTGCCCCCAGTTCTGAAGCATCAGCTTAGGCCACGTAGGCACCCCTTACTGGCTGTCCCAGTAACGCGAACAGTCGCGCATGCAAATTCTCCGCTTGTTCGAGCATTAACGATGATCAATGCTTTCCTGGCATCCGCACCAGAGTGTGATTTGTTCGCAGCGAGATGGAAGGATGTATGTCGTGAATGTGTAAGATTTTGTGAGAAGATGGACGGCTGATGAATTAGTTTTAAGTAATTATAATTATTGTACTTTTTTATATAAGATACCTATCACATAAGTGTAAAATAGTAAATAAGTAACATTTTTTTTTTATTATTTAACTGTATAATGTATTGGCTTGTGCTGTAAAGTTATACATGTGCTTATAAATAAAAAAAAAAATTAAGCTGAAGTTTGTTTGTTTGAACTCGTTAATCTCAGGAACTGAGTAGTCCGATTTGAAAATATAATTTTGTGTTGAATTTTTCATTTATCAAGGGGAGGCTTTAAAATATCACACTCAATAGGAGCTGAGCAGAGCGAGAAAAACCGCGCGAATGTAACTAGTATTGTATATTTAAAATCTTACATATTCAATACGGAAATAATGACCACAATGTCAGTTTTCAAAAACAGTAACTTTTATCAAACGTTTTTAAAAAACTATTCATTTTTATTAGGGTTTAACACTGATACATCAAAAAGGTGAAAAATTAAAATTAGATGTTTTCTCAAATTTTACATTACCAATGTGGGTGCTTCTTCTTGGATTTTTTTTAAGGGGGGAAAATCATCGAATGTCTTCTCCCGCCTGGGTGAGGCGGGAGGGAGTGTCAGACTCTTACTGACTAAAAACCACCCCTTTCCTACTCCTGTACGTCTACCCGTTAGGTTCTCCACGGCTTCTTTTTGGATTTATAGGTGTAATTTTTATAAGGTAAATTATACTTACGATTGATACTTCAATATAATAAACATGTAAAATCGTAGTATCGATTTCAGCATAACCTTATGACAATTTTACTTTCACTTTCATGTTAGACAGTTTTTTGGTTGAGAGAGATTGATCATTTCGATATCAATCAATCAAGTTCATAAGTTCATAGTCTGAAACTCTGCTTGCCCCTTCTTTTATTTTATTTTTTTTAAGGGGGGAAAATCGTCGAATGACTGCTCCCGCCTGAGTGAGGCGGGAGGGAGTGTCAGACTCTTACTGACTAAAAACCACCCCGTTCCTTCTCCTGCACGTCGAGCCGGAGCCCCGGTAACCCGTTAGGTTCTCCGCGACAACTTTGCTTGCCCTAGGACCATGGGTACCGATCAAAAGCCAGCAGTTACGAGTATGACAAACACTCATCGAAGCAATCAAAATAAAAGTAAATAAATAAAGATCATAATTACCAGTTTCTCTAGAGATTTCTGCCATCAAAGCGCTAAGCTTCGCCTGAGACCGTCCAGCGACTCCCCAAGGGCCGAAGTCATATTTTTTGTAGAGCCTCGCCATGTACACGACCACCTGCTTCCCGGCAAGCCCGGTAGCTCCAAATATCACCACGTCTAACCGTGACATCTATAAACATACAAAAAGCTTTATGAACACGTAATATGGGTACTATTATCTATCTACGTATGGGGATGTTATCTCTGAATCAAAGTAGAGTTTTGTGTCCTAACTTATTCATAGTATCTTTTTCATATAGTAAACAATATTTCGGTATGGATGGGCCGGCCTGACCGCAGCGGTACCACAGCCATATAGAAAACCGACGTGAAACAACGCTTGCGTTGTTTACCATGTGAAAGCTTTATGTTTATCCATAATATTACATTAGATACAACTACTGCCCTAGATAACAAAGATTATTTTCGTAGACTGCATATTACGCAACTTATTATTGTTATTTATTATCTTAACTTATTATCCTTATGAAAAATGCGCTTTTAATTTAATTTACCCAATGGGAAAGGATTTTCTTGAATTTTATTAACCTGGATTTTTTAAGGGGGGAAATTCATCGAATTACTGGGTGAGGCGGGAGGGAGTGTCAGACTCTTACTGACTAAAAACCATCCCGTTCCTACTCCTGCACTTCAAGCTGGAGCCCCGGCAACCCGTTAGGTTCCCCGCGACAACCTGGATAGGTTTCAGAATAGTAATAAAACATCAACAAAGTATCTAAACCTAACTACCTACTATCCTGGTATTTCGGGAAATAAAAAAGTGGGATATACTTAGATTATTAATCTGATCTCAACTAACTTAATCAGACTGCATTTAATATTACTTAAGCCTCTTAAGATATCGAATCCAATAAAAATTCTATATTTTTTATAGTAGGTATTTTAAACCGACTTTAAATCAAAACAATATCAAATTATTCTTCCCATATCTAATTTAGATGGCAAACTAATTATTTTTAATTTGCAGGTAGGTGTCTAAAAAAGGTTAGAAGACACTCGGACAGGTTTTGAACGACTTCATAAAAAATGCGGTTTTGACCGTCACATAACTTGCAACATACTGATCAAGCTATTTACCTTCGTAGTAATGTTTTTTCTTTGTCAATTCAATAAATAAATAATAATAGATAATAATTTATATTTTATAATTATTGAGTGGGTAAGAAGTCCGTAAAAATAAAAATAAAAAACACTAAAAAGACAATAACGAAATACCTGCGTGACTGAAAGTTCTATTTTTCATTGTAGTTATTATTAGATGTTATAATGTCAGCTCCTAATAGTACCTAAGAAATATTGTTTTTAAAAATTATTCAGCTGAAGAAATCATTACTCAACGCTTAATAATATGAATAAAACAAAAAATATTCCAGCGCAAAATATTAAAACTAAATAACTTACCTTGTTTCAAATTATTTTACGAACTTTAAAACAAAAATAATTTTGAAATTCGAATATTTTTCCCGCCGCGTCACACGTCATGGACGAATGTAACAACCGAGTGAACTAATAAAATAGGGCGGGGAAGCCGCGTATTATATTAATCTGCTTCATTCAAATCGAGTCAGAATTAGACTTTGGAACCATGACTATACAAATTTTTCAAAACAGAAATGATACATGATATCACCCTTGGCAACGGTTGGACTTTATTTCATCATTTAAGTAGTTATGAATGATGTTTGATAAAGGATATAAAAGCTTGTTTATGTAATACTAGCGGCCCGGTACGTGCTTCGCTACGTATAAAGTGAAATAAAATAAACAAATCGGAACATCAAATTCATTTATTTAATCAAAAAAATATTTTATTTAAAATCGAAATCAATTGCTAGCTATTTACAACACACTTAATCCAAAACATTTGGATAAACAATATTTTTTGTTTTTCCATTTTGAGCATAAATAAACAAACGGCTGGGGGTACCGACTCTGGAACAGGCAACATATAACTGGCCATGTGAAAAACAATGTTCCTCCAAATTCACACCACAAACGTGAAGTGTTTGACCTTGGGCCTTGTTGATGGACATCGCAAATGATAAACGCACAGGATATTGTAAACGTTTGAACTCAAAAGGCATATCAGTTGGAATCATAGGTATACGCGGTATCAAAACAACTTCTCCTTTTGATTTACCAGTTAAGATCGTAGCTTCAATCAAATTTGGCAATAACTTTTTCACTGCCAATCTGGTTCCGTTACACAGTTTTGGTGGATTAATATTTCGCAATAATATAATCGAAGAACCAACTTTCAGATTCAAGCAATGCGGTGGCATACCAGCCGGCTCCAATGAATTTAAAAATTCAATTGGATAATTCATTGCCTCATCTTGATTCATAACACTGTCAATTGATTTATATTTCGTGACTACGCCTGGCAGTTTCGCTTGAATTTGAAAATTAATTGCATTGACATGAATGTTTTTCGGTGCTAAAATGGCGCGTTCTGTCAACCAATCATGATTTCTGTAATTCTGAACAATATTCGGAAAAACACATTCAATCAATTCATCTATCGATTGCGCAATTGTACAAAAATTGTTCGGTACAGCGATCAATCCGTTGGTTCTGTCGATTTGTATTTTGCCGTCACCAATTTCTAACAATTGTTTTGAGAACTCATGGGCAGCTGGATCATTTTGTAGGTATCTCCAAAGAACTGATGACTTCAAGCAGGCATTTATTTCATCAGCAGGAGTTGATCGAGGAATGACAGGCAATGTTTGACGAAAATCCCCTGAAAGTAATATCAAAGCACCACCAAAAAGCTGTTGATTACCACGTAAATCTTGCATTGTTCGATTGAATGCTTCTAGTGATTTTTTATTCGCCATTGTACACTCATCCCATAAAATAATTGACGTTAATCGCAGAACTTTTGCCATAGCAGAATTTCTCGATATATTGCAAGTTGGAGTTTCAATCACCTGTACATTCAATGGCAATTTTAATGCAGAGTGTGCGGTCCGACCACCTTCTAATAATGTAGCAGCAATTCCCGAAGATGCAAGTGCTAGTGCAATTTTCTGATCTGATCGAATAGTCGCTAAAATCAATTATATAACGAACGTTTTACCTGTGCCACCAGGTGCATCCAAAAAATATAATCCACCTGCATTATTGGAAACGGCTTGCATGATTGTATCATATACATGTTTTTGCTGAATATTTAATTTGGTTATATTCGATTGTACAAATAAACGCAAATCATTACAGTTGAATTCCTGCTCACGTTGCAATTCACGATCAAACAAATCATGCATGGGACGATTTGGTGCGGTCATACCCAATTGTACTAATGCTTTATTTGCAATCGTTAGACATATATCTTCAATTATTATCAAAGCTTCGTTGCACATTTCCAAGGTAATCAACAAATCAGGATTTCTTGCATGATGACGCATACGAATTAAAATATCTTCTGCCATATAATTTTTATATTTGTTCCATAATTCAAGTGGATTTGATGGCATACATGTCGATAATATAATGGCAAATAGCATTCGTATTTGTTGTGGATGAGCTGACGTAGATGCATCATTAAGTGTTGAATCCCAATGTGCATCATCCTCCAACAAATGCAAGAGTTGACATGCTTCACGATATGTTTGACACAAATGACCGTCGACTGTTCTTAATTCTTGAAATGATTTTGGGCCATTGACGTTAACTAATAGCAATCGCAAATAAAAACACTCAGCATTGTTTGGATGTACTGTATACATTCTCCCAATTGCATCTGTTTTGAAAATGCCTGAATACCCATCGACTGCTGTTCCTTGTTTACGTCTTTGAAATTTTTTTGAAGACACATTCCATGTATAGTACTGAGGCACTTCGGAATATAACAAATTTCTAGCAAATGTATCAGTTACGCATAATTTGAAAAAAGCTGTCAACGTAGTCGCTGGTGGGTGTGCTGCTCTTTCCAATGCATTTGCTTCATTAAAATAAATACGTTGGCCATTCTCAAGATGCACAGCTAAGTGAACAACCACAGGATGTCTTTCGTGCATTGGAAACGACAGAATCCTCCAGACAGCTTCATTACTACTAATATAGCGCCCCAGTTGATACTGAGTAATTTCATCATTTCTATTATCACCAGCTACACCGAAAACAGCAATATCGCTCCCTTTATTTACATACTTGCAAATATATTTAATGGATTTGACTGAATTACAATACTCCACATTTATATGAGCCTTGAATATTTTCGATAATAATGGACAATACGGAACCACCCAACGATTATCAACTTCAACGTCCTGGTTACGCATTCTAATGGTTGCCGTTTTGCCATTATCATTAGGTGATCTACGTCTATACAACGGATATCCGTCATTGCCCGTTATTGTGTCTGAAGTCAATTGTCTTGGGTATCGTTTCGAACACTTTCCATCAATCATACATGGCGAATTCATATTTAGTTCACCGCACGGACCATGTATCATGTTTTTAACGACAACATCAAATAACTCAGGATCAACAGTTTGATCAGGAATTTCACCTGATATAACGTTATCGATTTGATCCGGAGTTATTTTATTTACCAGCCAAATTAATATATGTGCGTGCGGCAATCCCCTTTTTTGCCATTCGATGGAGTACATATGGCAACGCACCTCTCCAAATACACGTAATTTCACAATTAAATCCATAAGTGCTTTCAATTTTCGCCGAAAAACACGTGCTGTAATGTCATGACGATCAGTTGTCGACTGGCCTTCAAATAAATTGTTCTTGATGTCATCCCACTGCGGATTACATGTAAATGTAATGAACAGATCCGGTCGACCGTATTTTCGTACATAAGACATTGCGTCTTGTGCATATTCGTTCATATGCCGTGGGCTACCAATATACGAAGATGGCAATATAGTTAAACGTCCGATGTCATTAACATTAGCATCATTCGCTATCGCATCTTGCAAATGTATATATATTTTTCGGATCTTAATTTTGCTTGGTTGAAACGAATAAAATTAAGACGTTCAGTCTCTATTTTGGCATACATATCAACGATGTACTGATGATATATATATATGTATATATATATATATATATATTATATATATATATATTTACATCCTGGAATCATTT